TGCAGATATGAGAGTTTGTATTCTTACATGTTTTTCACTTCTGAAGTAACATAATGATGGAAACATTTCCAAGACATTCTTTTTCAAAATGCTCTTTCACAGCATGAATTTCCTGCAAAAAGCAGTTACTTTGTTCCTTTCACGTATTATTAAAATGCTACTTTTACTCTGAAGGAGCAGACTGTTTATTAATAATTATTTTAAAAATAATTGTTAGGTAAAAAACTGTGAAGAGCCTCTTGTAATCACAGAAAAAGGTAGCAGATTTGAAACAATTGCCTTTTTGTAAAAAGAAATGTGTAATTCACCTTTAAGTGGTCATTCCTCATAGCTTTGTAAAAGTATTGTAAAAATCTCTACATTTTAATCTTTTTTTAAAAAAATAAAATTCACCGCAGTGCTGGCATCTCATAGTATAGTACCTACAGTCTTTTGCAGAGTGCTGAAAGTGAAGGGCTGAGTGAGGTCACCCCTGCCGATCCCTGTGTGCTGGCGGCTTTCCCTTTTTCCTCAGGTTACCGCCATGCATGTGACCATCTGACATGAGACCAAGGGGGGCACTGGAGTCCGTCTACAGATTAAGTATTAGTAAAGCTTAATTTTAAATGGGAATTTTGGATTAAAAATTTAATAAAGCTTCTAAAGAAATCATCCAAATTGATTGACTTGCATACCCCCTGGAGTATGTACACCCCACCTTGGGGACCACTGTGCTATCCTGTAGCTGCCCCTCCTTCCCTTTTTCCCTGTTCTAGTCATCATTCAGAGTTCTGCTCACATCCAGCTTTTTCTTTCATCCCCTCTGACTCTTTTTGTCAGATGCATATGTTTTAGCCTCTCCTCTCCATTGGAAGCTCCTGAAAGGCAGAAGAGTATGCATTTCACTGTGTGTCTCATTGCAGTGTTTCTGTGCATAGGAGTTGCCCTAAGTATTTGAATGAATAAGTATTTGAATGAATTAATAGCAAATGCTCAATAAAGGTTCCTGTGTGTTATAGGTCAGGTTTTATGTCTTTATCTGCTTTCCAAACACAGCTTTTGAGAAATAATTATCCTAGCTTTATAGGGGACTGACTGAAGCGCACAGAGGTTCAGTAACTTGCCCGACAGTGATGGAGCTAGGAGCCTGGAATTTTTCTTCTTTTTTAAAAGTTATTTTTGTTTTGAATAAATAATATATCTCTTGGTATAAAAAGATATGAATCAAGAAGTCTTGGTCTCACTTCTAATCTTACTAATTTTCTCCCTTGCCCTGCCTCCTATAGGAAACCTCTTTTATTCTCTATTTCCTGTGACTGTTTCCAGTTGCTCCTTACGCAGAAAAAAACAAAATATAAATATATATTCTTGTTTATGCCTTTTTCTACATAAAAGGTTGTGTATCTTTTTAAATTTAACAATAATTTGTCCTGGAGATTTTTCCAGATTAGCACATGAAGAGCATCTTACTCTGTTTTTAAAAAATCTATATAGTACCATGGATGTGCCACAGTTTATTTAATCAGTCTCTTAGTTGTTTCTCAGGTTTTACTGTGACTAGCAGTGCTGCAGTGACCTCATAAATAAGTCAGCTTTCCGTTTTGTGCTGGTATACCTATAGGATACATGCCTTGAAATGGGACTGCTGGATCAGAGGGTAAACGCGCTTAGACTGCCAGCTTGCCCTCCCTGGGGTCGTACCTGTTTGTACTCTCACCAGCAGTGTGTTAGAGGGCCTGTTTCCTTATACCCCACCAATGCAGTTCTCAAATGTTTGAGTTTTTGCCAGTCTAATAGGTGAGAAATATCTTGGTGGAAGTTGAGTATCTTTTCATGTATTTAAGGTCATTTGCATTTCTTTTTTTGTGTTCTGTCCCTGCCTGCGGGCTAGTTTTCTCTTAGGTTCTTGCAGCTTATAAAATGTTAGGAAGATTAGCTGTTTGTGATATGAGTTGCAAATACTTCTTCTCAGTTTATCATTTGATTTTAAAGAACCAGGAGTTTGAACCTGGTTCTAAATTCATCATTATAATTGTACTGCCTCAAATAACACATATTCTGCATTCTTGAAAAGATTCATTTAAGTGTAACTGTTATTTAATGCAGCTAGTGTTTTAAAACTGCTCTCATAATGATTTCTTCCCTCAATAGACACGGCATCAGCAAGGAGATACACATCCTCTAACTTTAGAGGAAATTTTGGATGAAACACAGCATTTAGATATTGGACTCAAGCAGAAGCAATGGCTAATGACCGAGGTAAGAACAGGCTTAAAATATTGTTAAAAAAAAAAAAAATTAGTTGATTACCATGAGATCTTTGCTATAACCAGAAGGTTTTTAGTATACTGAAATCTGATATTTTTCCTGAAAGAAGTGGTGTAGGATATTTATTTTTGTTTTTTAAGCATACATGTTTACAAGATTGTTTGATTTGTTGGTTTTATAATTTTATTTATCTATTTATTTTAAAAAAAGTTTAAGTTAAGGCTTTAGGATGAAAGTTGTAAAGAAGTCAGTCATTGTACTGGTTCCACATAATGGTTTTTACTGAATTTAATTGGTGCTTATTTTGAATAGCTAAGTGGATAATGTACATGCTTGTAAATAGTATTGTTTTCATGCGTGTATTAAGACATTTAGAGCATGAAGTACTGTAGGGATAGCAAGATATTTTGTTGCACTTTGACTTCCAGTTTGGCTTGATAGTGATGTTACTGCCTCTCGCTCACAGGTTATCTGGAAAAATAGTCATGAACGTGCAACGTTTGAGGAAGAGGAACTCTAACACAGTCAGTTACCATGCTGATTTGGAAATTAATAGCATTTTAAAAATTCAGATATTTGCCTATCTTGAGTTTAAATATGAAATGAGAACCAAGAAGAATACTTTCTAGAGACAGTGCTAGATTTTAAAGACGAGATATAAACTTTCCAAAATATGATTCAATTAATTTATTTTACCAAGCAAAATCTACTTGTTGATTTTCATAATAAAAAAAAATGAACCAATTAATCACTTTGTAGCTCAGTATATTAGTGATACCCAAATAATGGTAATCCACATTTAAATTTTGTGGGTTTACCTAATTTTGGAATTTCATAGATTACCAACGTTAGTTGCAGAGTATTTTTATTACCATTTTCTTCCTCCTTTCTTCTTTCTGTGTGTTTTCTCTTCCTTCTTTCAGGGACGGACTGGCAGCTCAGAAGAAAATAAATAGGGTTGCTCTTTCTTGAAGAGCCTTCCTTCTGGTATAAGCTGTGCAGCAGGACTGGCTAGGGACATGATTATATTCAGTAATCCCTGCATTCTTACTCAGTTTCATTCTCAAGCTGACATATAGGTAAAGCTCTTACGTGCACTGGCCTGGTCCTGTTCGGTTCTTTCCACAGCTGCTAGTGCCAGCTGATACCAGGTGGTGGTGTTGTGTGCTGCCAAGTCGCTTACGACTCATGGTGACCCTATAGGACAGATTAGAACTGCCCTGTAGGGAAGCAGATGGCCACATCTCTCTCCTGTACCAGGTGGTGAAGACTATTGATTTGTTCATTCCAGGGTGACGTTTCTCACCTTGTAATGCTAATATGCGATAAACTCTCCTTGAGGGTGGGGTGGGTAGTACCAAATTCACTT